TTTCAAGGATAAGGTCTACACCATTAGCCCCGAGACGACAGAAGATCTCAAAACCTACAAATAGATGAATGTTGAAAGTTCGGTCTGTTTCCCAAAATGTCAAGAGAAGTATCAAACTCTGAATCTGGGTGAATATATGGCTCAAGTGGTTTTTCACAAATAATTTCTTATGTTACCAGTTTCCAGCAAAGTTTACGGAGCGGAAATTGGTTGAAAATTCGGAACTTGTTCCTTAAATGAGTTTGGACGCCTTTTGGGACACCTTTTAACTCCTGCACTCATTCCCTTTTGTTAATTCACGGACTTCTAGAAAATTGTAATTCCTGGACAGCTTCGTTTGTGATGATTTGTAAGTGGTGGTATGGTTCTTGGGTGCAAAAATGAGGAAGTAGTTTGATTCTGAAAACGGTTGTGAACAACTCAGTTTCGCTTTACTCTCGTTGCAATAATTTTTATCACCGTCATGAAATCGAATTATTTTCAAACTTACAAATTTACAAACATTCCTTATGACTATTCTTTCATTCCCTCACATTGCCTGTTGAATCTGCGCTATTTTAGTCTCTCTAGATATTTTGTGATCTAAATTTGTTATAGATTGATGACACTATCGAGCAAATGGTGAACGTGCAAGATGAAAAGAAGGGTGTTCCTACGAATGGTGCCAATTTTACAGGAAAAAGTGGCTGGGTTCATCGGCGAAATACAGGTAATCGATGGCTCTAATTTCAGGTGGAAGGCATTATACTATGCGACGATCTAATCCATCTAATTTAGGATCGTGTTCGTCCAAGTCGCCATACAATCATTCTGTGCGAAACCCCCTTTTCGTAGACTGTCGAAACCTAGTTGACGCCGAGTTGTTGCTTCTGTCCAAACATTACCACCCGTCGGTGGCAATTTTTGCGCAAGCTCTTCTCCAGGTAGTTGCTTGATATATCAGGAAGTGATTATCGAGCTGACCTTTTATAGGATGGCTGCATAAATTATAAAGGCGATCCACTAGAAGACTTTACTTTGCTAAAGTTCCTAGATCGATTTGCATTCAAAAATCCAAAAGAGGGTCGAGCGGTGGGTTCATGATCATCTATCTTTTGCAAATGTATTCTTATTATTCTGTATAAATTCAGATCTTTTTTCCTTTGCTTGTATCATTTCATTTTAGAGCAAGACTGCTACTGATCGAGTATTACGTAAGAAACAGTTTGATCCATGGGGCGTTAAAAGACTTTCTGTTTCTTCTAAGGTGAGTTCAACGCTAAAGTTCAACAATAAGTCGATGGTGACATATGAGGCATTATTCATGCTTCGTCCTACTGCCTCCACTTCAAGCTGTTTGCTTATACTTAGTGATTGAACTACTTGCAGGAATATATTTCCAAGAAAGTGAGCGAATTGCCAGCCGATGAGCATTATCTCCATCGTTTTGCTACACTCAGGTTCAAAGAACAAAGTGAGATTGAAAAGAAGAATGAAGATGATTGGGATATTGAAAGTGTCGACTCTGCTGAGTTCGATGCAATCATCGGTAGGTGCTTGATGGAACAAAATAAGTTGCTTGTACTTGTATCGGAA